GATCTCTAGAGGGGGAAAGGAAAAGTCAAAACCAAACAATACTGCTGTTTCCCATCATGCTCCATATCCAAGTGGCCTTTATCTTTCTTACTGCCCTCTGCCATCATTTTAAGGCTACACATACCCTTCTTGCCAGGACACCATACACGTGTGCAGTGTGTTGACTGTTTACCATGGTGCCTTGCAGAGGAGGTGGGTAGGCATTGAATTCCAGCACCTACCTTCACCCCCTAAGACATGTGTTTTGCATCCACCTGAGGAAGGGGTATCTTTTTCTAATTTGAACATAGCACTGTAGGGCCACCATGGCTCTCTTTGTTCTTAGAGTTCTCGGGCAACCAGCTGCCATCTGGCCTTGACATGTATTTTCATGTTATATTGAATAGCACTGCTCTGAGTAGCAAGACATGGAACACTGGGGGATGGGGAGAAGCCAAGGCTGAAGAAGTGAACCAGCGACCCCTCTCCGCTTCCACGATTTCAAATAATATCTAGATAAATGAAAACTAGCTGAGGCACAATGCCGTGTGAAATGTTCTGCAGCAAAGAGGAAGCAGTGATAGAGCAACAAAACTGCCTTTTCAGTTTTAGCAAACTGGAAGAACTGTCAACTCACAACAGGTTGCCTCAGTATTGCATTGCAACTGAAGAACATGATACAGTCAGACCACATGGCTGAACCTTTTGGCCGAGCTCATTTGTAGGATTTGATATCAGGTGATTTGATATAGGATATATGTCCTGCTGAACCCTAGGGATGGCCTTGGGTATTAAAGTGTTTTCCTTTTCCCGTTGCTAACTTCTCTGTGGTCTGTTGACATTACATCATGTTGCAAACAATGCGTGGTAGAGACTGCAGTGTCAGGATGTAGTGACCTGATTAGTCCAAACTCCTGCAGGGGAGACGTGCAGATAAATGGGCCCCAACAGGACCTGAAGAACCATGTAGTTTTGAAATCCTGGGTGGATGGGCCACACCCTGAATACACCTTAAATCTCTTGCTGCTTTGAAGGTATAATCATTGCTCAATAACTCCCAGGATGGAGTTAATTAGTTCTTTGTATGATTTGATTATAATAAAATGAGAGTTTGAATGTAACTTATTAAAATGTGCAAATGTGGGCATAATATAAATATATTTTTAAAACTTGGAATTAATATCTTATAAGAGCATGGAAATGATCCAACTGCATTAACACCTTCTAAAATATAGTCTCTTTCTAATAGTAGTCAAGCAGTTAGATGCTTGGCTTAACATATAGACCTAAAGCAAATGAAACATGAAGAAATATGATTACTTTGCACTACACAATTTATCATTTTACTTATCAAGTAAAGATTCCTATGGTGTTTATTAATTAATGATTATTATTTACAAAAGCCTTCAGAGAGTATTGCTTTCAATTTTATTGAAATTGAGAGCATTGCTTTTCACTTTTCAAGGTGGGGAAACAAAGAGATTAAGTAAAATATGCCATGAATCCTATACCTACCAAAGATAAGAATTAAAGCAATTGTGGAACTTTACACACAAAACACACCTAGTAAAAATAATTTACTACTATAAACTGATTAATGTAATTCCTTATCTGAGATAATAAATGTTGCATGTAATAGATTGTTTTCTGTTTGAGGACAGATACTGCTACATGTTGATATCTGCATTGCTAGTACCATGCAATCAATCATGATGATTGAGTCAATTAATGAATGAGTATGAAAGAAAACCCATAAGAACTAACCTCGAAGAACTCCATTCTAATCCCTAGGCCCTCCCAGTTTCTCTCTTGCTCAGTGCTTCCCAGATTATTGATGCCTTACATGAGCAATCAGGAAAAAGGAAGCAATCCAGATGGGAGGCTAGCTGTGGTCAGATGCCTCTGAAATGAAAAAAGTATTTGCAGATGTTTCAACAAGTGGAGGGGTAGGGCTGAGTCTAGGCCACAGGAAACAACTTCTACACCTTGGGGCTACTACAATAAAGGTATCATCACTCACCAGCACAGGGTTCTGTTGGAAACTTGAAAAGGCATTCAGGATTGGAATGTTGCATGAATCCAGACTTGCCTCAGGAATGCCACAAGTGATCAGAACTAAGTATAGAAATTAATGTGATTTGTAAAAATAGCAATAAGGATCATAGTTATCTGGGAATCAAATCCTTTCATCACTTTAGACAGAGCAAATGAAACTAGAAGAAACCATCACTGACTTTGAGAGTCTCCTTCTAAATTAGTTGGCCTTTGGCTTTTGGAGAGCAAAGTTCAAATTCCAGTTCCTGCCTGACAGGAAAATAAGTCAGACACAAAGTAGATAGATAGTCTTTTAGACTCCAAACTGAAATAGCAGTGCATAAAGAAGATCTGAGTCTTGAAGAAACTTTGTTTTTAGAGTTGCTGAATTCACTCACCTACTGTGTGATATTTTCCATTGTGCCTTTTGAGGCTGTTCACTACATTTGTGATATTTGCCTTTGTTAGCTAATCCCTTCAAATGTAAATAAGAAATTTTAGACTTTTTAATGAAAAAGTGCTAAATTCAATTATGTTCTGTGCATGCCCTCTTCCAGTGCACATTAGCTTTCTAGTTGCACAGTGGATGATGGAGCACATGATCATAAGTACCAGTTGCTTAAGAAGATACTAATAAAATACAAAGGCACTTTAAAAAGTGCTTGGAGGGGTGCCTAGGTGGCTCCATTGGTTAAGCGGCTGCCTCTGGCTTACGTCCTGATCTTGGGGATCCTGCTTCTCCCTCTTCTCCCAGCTTGTGCCTCTTGTTATCTCTGTCTCTGTCTGTCTGTCTCTCTCTCAAATAAAGAAAGTCTTTAAAATATAAAAAAATAAAAAGTGCTCAGAACTAGGCTCAGCCATTTACTATTTTTGTGCCCTGGTCATATTACTACGTGAGCCTGTTTTCTCATCTCTAATATGTAACAACTGGAGAATGGTTTTGTTTTTGGCTCAGTGGACAAGGAAGAGATTTTCTAAAACAATGATCTGAATGCTTGGCAACATTGGATTTGTTCCATAAAATCCTAAACTTTTAAATTGAGAAAAACTTATAGTAGCATAGCTGTGGACACTTGACTAATAGAGAGAAGCTGTTCATCAACCCAAAATGAAAGTTTTTAAAAAAATTATAAGGAATGGAATACAATGCTGGCACTACTACTAAAATTGACCAGGATATTTGGGGGATAGAGAAAAATTAATTAACCCTAACATTATTAGAGAATTATACATATGTTGCTATACTTAGTGAATTGCCTTTTGTGAATATTGGAATTCAAAATACGAAGACTAAATGAGAATGCTAGCAGCAAATCCTTTTGTTGTTGTTGTCGTTGTGTTAAACCTAAAAAGGCACAGAGGTGTATCAGATTTGCTGAGATTCTTTATTATAGAATTAGATCATTAGAGCAAGGAAGAGATTTAAATGTCAAGATCAAATTCCTGGGCACCTGGGTGGCTCAGTTGGTTAAGCGACTGCCTTCGGCTCAGGTCATGATCCTGGAGTCCCGGGATCGAGTCCCGCATCGGGCTCCCTGCACGGCGGGGAGTCTGCTTCTCCCTCTGCCCCTCCCCCCTCTCATGTACTCATGCTCTCTCTCATTCTCTCTCTCTCAAATAAATAAAAAATCTTTAAAAAAAAAAAAAAGATCAAATTCCTTATTTTATGAGGAAGCAAATTCAGAGAGGAAAATTAATTTATTTAAAAACAGTATTATTGTTGTTATCATCGTCATCACTACAGGTGCTTTGCAAGGCACCCGTGTCTGTTCTGGGAATCCAGCAGTGGGCTAGACAGATGTGGTCTCTCGTCCTGAATCCCTCAGTTAATGGAGGAGCTAGAACCAGAAATGAGTCTGTGGATTTCTAGTTAAAAGAGCTTCCATTAATCCAGTACTGACTCTAGACCAGGCCCTAAGTGTTTCACCTACATTAAGTCACGTAATCTTCACTAATTTACAGTAGGATGGAGCATGTCTTCCCACTCCTGACGTCTCCTTCCCCGTGAAGGGAGCTCCATTAACGTAACCATCCTGGCTTTTCTCCCTGCCTTATTTACTCTGCTCAAGGGGAGATAAAGTGACATCTGAGTTTGGAAAGAGTAACTGTGCCTGAGTAGCCCAGTCCCTTCCCTTCTCTTTTCTTAGGACAGCAGTGCCTAAAAGGAACGTCTGTTCTTTGCTCTTCTAGGCCCAAAGATGAACAGGGCAGAAGGAGGCCTCTTCAGGTCTTGTGAGTGGGGAAACAAGTTTCATAGTGGGGTTTTACATTAGGAAGCCCTTTCCCATAGATATCAGCTTTCTCATCAATAAAATCTCTGTGTGTATGTATGCAAGAGAGAAGCATTTCATAAAAATAAAAGAGCAAATAAGCAAGTATGTCCTATCATATTTGAATCATCCAAAACCAGCCAAGTTCTATCCAGTGTGCATGTCTATGCCCCACATTCTGACCCACCTGCCACAGCACTGAGGAAACAGTATCTTAAAATAATCTCAACATACCCTTCTGGGATCATATGCCCAAGCAGCGGAGCAGCTTGGCACAGCAGCCTGGTCCTGTCTCAGATGGCACAGAAAATTAACCATCACACCTTCTAAACAGATTTGGCCTAAGTTTCCAAATTTCTAAAACTGTTTGCTGCTGGGCTCTTTAGGAGACAAAGTGGTGAAATAAAAAGACCTTGGGATTTATGGAATTAGAAGCCCCAGATTTGAGTCCACCCTGAGTAAGTCTCTCTGACTTGGAACCTCTGTTTTTCCTCTAAAGAACAACATACATTGCCTTAATGAGCTCACACGGTTGTTTGAGACCCAAAGAGGAAAATACATGTGCAAGTGCTTTGTAAACAGTAAAGAGCTATAGAAACGTTAGTTGTTTTGCAGACTTAAAGATACAAGTTCCAACCTTTGGCTCCATTAGGCTGGTTGGCTCTTACTATTGCAGTGGTGACCCACTTCATCCTGTCTTTCTCAGACTCTTAACATCTGGAGGTCTTCCTACTCCTCTCAGTTCTTCCACCTAGATCCATAAGCCGGGCCTTTCTTACAATCTCGCTTTTTTTTTTTTCCATCTACCCTCAACTCACCAACATAAGTGCAGATCCAACTCTGCCCCAATGCCCGCCTGGCCCCGAAGCACCCAGTTCTAGGGACTCTCCTCCAATGCCTGAGATTTATGGGCCTGAAGAAAATTATGCGTCCCTGCAAATGTCATCTGCTGAGACACCCCACGCGGAGACCATCTCTCCTCTTCCTTCCTCCGTGGATCTGCTTGTTCAGGACAGTCCCGACTCCTCCACCAGTCCCAGGGTAAAACTACCACCCACTTCTGGAGAGGAGAGAACAGTGAGGAAGGAAGATACGGCCCAGGGCAAGAAACAGATCAGGACCGTGTTCTCTCAGACCCAACTCTCTGTCCTCAATGATCAATTTCAGAGACAGAAATGCCTCAGTCTCCAGCAGATGCAAGAACTTTCCAACATTCTGAACTTAGCTATAAGCAGGTGAAGACCTGGTTCCAGAACCAGAGTATAAAATGTAAGAGTTGGCAGAAAAACCATTGGCCAAAGGAGAGAGAGAGTGTGACTCAGAACACCACAGCAACCGCAGAATACCCAGGCTTCTATTCCTACCACCAGGGATACCTGAGGAACACTTCCGGAAACCTTCCAATATGGAGCAACCAGACCTGGAATAACCCGAATTGGGGCAACCAGATCTGGAACAGCCAGTCTTGGAGCAACCATTCCTGGACCAGTCAGAGCTGGTGCCCCCAAGCCTGGAACAATCAGTTCCAGAACTGTGGAGAGGAATCCCTGCAGCCCCAGATCCAGTTCCAGCAAAATTCCATCAGCAATTTGGAGTCCATCTTAGAAACTTTTAGGGAAAGCCATAGTGTAATACAACAATCTGCTAAGTATTTTAGTACCCAGCAAATAATGGATTTGTTCCCAAATTATTCTGTGAACATACAGCCTGAAAATGTGTGACGATGAGTATATTATTCAATCTCAATTTGGGCGGTGGCTGTATTACTTCTCCTAGGCTTTGTCTTTTAGGGTCCTATATAGCTCTGCCTCGATATTCTGTTTCCCAATATTCTTATTGTGTCCATTGAGGGGGTACGATTGGAGTCAAAGAGGTTTCAGTAGCATTGGCTGCTATGGACAACATGATATAAGGTGTTTCTGGCTATAGATAACTAGATACAATCCTAATGTGGATATCTTTAGGCTCTAGAATCTAACCTCAAGAATAGGAAGTGAAGATACAAAGACATGTGATGAAGGATAATTTGTATTTTCTGAGATTGTGAGGCTTTTCATGTTAATAACCTCAATTGTTAACGGTGAAGGGCTAAACTATAATGTGCTTCATTGATTTCCTCTGTCCCTTGTGATGTTTTACTAGAACTGTTAATTTGTTCATTATTCTAGAATTTGTAGAAACATGTTTTGTATTTTAATGTATCATGATAATAGTACCAGTTTGGCTGATTGGTTTATAGATTTAGTACAAATAAATAAAATACCCACTTTACCCTTAAAAAAAAAAAAGATACAAGCTGCAGATAACAGTTCTCATGTTTACTATGCATTTTAAGCTTGACTTTATTTCTTGTTTTTTTAAGATTTTATTTATTTGACAGAGAGAGAGGGAGCAAGTACAAGCAGGGGGAGTGGCAGGCAGGGGAGAAGCAAGCAAGCTGAGCAAGGAGCCCGATGTGAGGCTTGATCCCAGGACCCTGGGATCATGTCCCGAGCCAAAGGCAGCCACCTAACCGACTGAGCCACCCAGGCACCCCTAAGCTTGACTTTATACAAAGATGTTTGTATGGCCAGGTGGTTGATAGTGGTCTAGCTGGTTATTATTTAAAGACTGAGAACCACTCCACCAACTAAGTTCTTCCCTCTCCCAACCAACATTACTTACTTACTGTAATTAAAAAATTGCTGTCTACATTGTTACCATTCATCTTTGGCATTAGGCAATACCTCTCTCAGGGACATTCCTATAAATTCTGAGCAGGTTTATAAAACACCTTTCCACTAGGAAGAAGCAGAGCACATGTAAGAAGTGGGGGTCAAGTTGGGGAGGATGATAGAGAGGCTGAAGGCAGGTAAAAGGCATGGAAGAGTCTGGGCTGTCAGTTTCAACCAAAAGTTCTGATAAAGAAACTGAGGAGGGAGATGGGAAGGTAGCCAGGAACAAGGGGAACATTGTTTCAAAGTGGCACCTTTTCCATAAATTGTTTTAAGGCTTGCTCCCCCTCTGATCAGTCTACCCTATCTCAACCTGAAAGTCAGAAAAAAATGGATTCCAACCCTGTCTCTGACCATCCAGCTGTGTGACCTTGGGTATGTAACTTTGCCTCCCTGGGTCTCATTTTCCTTATCTGTAAATGAAAACTTTGGATAAACATTCTCTAAAGTCATTTCGACAAAAAATATTCTGTAATTCTAGCAAAGAGCCTGTTGAATTGCCTCCTCTTTCAACATTTAAGTCTTAACTTCCTCCAGGGGAAAAATTTAGAAGGGGGTGCCTGGGTGGCTCAGTCGTTAAGCATCTGCCTTCGGCTCAGAACGTGATCCCAGGGTCCTGGGATCAAGCCCCGCGTCGGGCTCCCTGCTCGGCGGGAAGCTTGCTTCTCCCTCTCCCACTCCCCCTGCTAGTGTTCCCTCTCTCGCTGTGTCTCTCTCCCTGTCAAATAAATAAATAAAAAACCTTAAAAAAAAAAAAAGAAATGTGCAAAGAAGTAGGTGTTGTCTGTGTGTATTGTGTCTGTATGACCATGTGTTAGCATGTGTGTGTAGACACCAATGGTAAAGGTAAAACATCACAGGCCAGAAAGAAGCATTTCATGAAAATTAGAACAGAAATTAGGCAATTGTACAATATCTTACTTGAACCATTTCTCTTATAAGCAAAGAAAGTCTCCAAGAAGTTGTTCCAATTTTGGTTGTATTCAGACACATTCGCAGTTCAGTTAAAAAAAACTGTTGAACCTTACAAATCACACTTGAAAGATGAAAGAATACATACTGGCATTTAAAGCAGGCCCCAGCCTAAAAGCATACAGGCTTCTTGACAATTGCTCTATAAGTAACTAAGAGAATAAATGAATAAAATATCTATAATAGTTGTTAAATTCTCAAAATGATACATTTTTCTCCTGAGTGTGCAGAACAGATTCTCCATGTTTTTCTGTATGGTGATAATTCTGTTCACTGCATAAGTAGGCTGAAGCAAAAGGAATAACAGAAAGAGATCAACTATATGACCTCAAGCATTAAAAACAGAAAAATTTAGGGAGAGGGATTCATTGATTCAGTATTAATCATTCTGAGAATCTGGTTTGGAATCAAAGGCATTCCCGAGTCTTTCATGTACTTTAATAAGCTATTAATAACTTTGGCATCTATTAAATAAAATTCCACTCTCAGAACCAACAAAGAGCTAGGAATACTATTGTCATGTTTCTTGTTAATATAGATGACCTCTCTAATTACTCTTCTCTATTAAACATGACTACTGCTTCCAGAACTGAAGACTATAAGCATTAGTACAAGGCTAGAGATGGGAGACCAGAGAAAATCAAGAAGTTTGGAGAGGGAGGACAGTATACAGAAAAGACCACAGTCTTTGAACTGAGATGTGGGTTTAAATCCTAGTTCCACTAAATCTAGGATTTATTTGATTTTCTCATCGGTAAAATGGGGCTGGTATATGCCTTACAGTTGTGAAAAATCATGATACTGTATGTGAAGTACCTAATAGGCCCTCAATACACAGTAGGCGTTATCATTATTCCTTTGTTAATAATGTCTCAGTGGGGCAAATAGCTGTTCTTCCTGATTTAAATTTGAAATCATGCTCCTTCCAGGTCTTCGCTCTATGAAACTATGCTGTTTCAGAGAAGTTATGTAATATTCCTAAGACTACCTGGGAAAATAATGATGGTTTTCAGAATACAATCTATCTTCTGACATAAAAAAAAGAAAAAAAGAAAAAGAAGGGGGGAAAGGAAGAGGAACAAAAGGAGAGGGATTAAAGAAAAACAAAAAGAAGTCAAAAGAAGAAAATGAGCGGAAACAAAAAGAAAAAGGAAAGAGGAGACCTAGGTCTTTGTACTGGCATTTAGTCACATTCAAGAGTTTCTTAAGGGGTGCCGGGGTGGTGTAGTCAGTTAAGCATCTGACTCTTGATTTCAGCTCAGGTCATGATCTCAAGGTTATGGGATCCAGCCGCGCATCAAGCCCCACAACAGTTCCGAGCTCAGAAGAGAGTCTGCTTGAGATTCTCTCTCTCCCCTTCCCCCCACCTCTCTCTCTCAAATAAATAAATAAATCTTCAAAAAAAAAAAAAAAAGTTACTTAAGTCCCCTGAATAGTTTTCATGAAAATCCCAAGGCTTCTCTTGCTTGACTCACCCAACTGTAATAGTCCTTTGAGCTAAAATACCTTTTCCTTAGACTTTTTCCAGACCATCAAATTTCTACTCATCTTCAAGGCTCTCATGGAATCTCACTGGAGGACCAACATGTGTAAAGCATATCCTATGTTCCCTGTATCTCGGTAGGTGCTTTATTTGAGCTGCCTCATTTACAGTGGGGTGTAGTCCCAAAAGGGGGATATTATCAATCCTTTATAGAAGGAGGCAACTAGGAACTAAGTCAATTGGCCAGAAAAAGAGTCAAGCCTGGAATGGATCCCAGGACTGTAGGATCCAAAAGCCTTCATTTTGTTCCTTTGCATCACAATGCATATAACCCTGACCCTCTCCATCAGAAGAGGGAGAGAGAGAGAGAATCTTTTTTTTTTAAGATATATTTATTTCACAGAGAGAGAGAGTGTGCGCCTGCAACCTGCACAAGTGGGGAGGGGGCAGAGGGAGAGAGAGAGAATCCCAAGCAGACTCCCAGCTGCATGGGGAGGCTGACAGAGGCTCCATCCCATGACCCTGAGTTCATGACCCACCACTTAACCAACTGAGCCACCCATGTGCCCCTGGTTTTTTGGGGTTTTTTTTTAAAGGTTTTATTTTTTTAAGTAATCTGTACACCCAACGTGGGGCTTGAACTTACAGCCCTCAAATCAAGAGTCTCATGCTTTACAGACTGAGCCAGCCAGGCACCCCTCACTCCATTTTGTTTTAATTTGTTACTTTTATTCTCTCTTCTGCCAATTCTATTTATTAAACATTTGTTGAGCATCAACTATGGGTAAAATATTGGATTATATTCAGGCTCTAAGTAGACTAATTTTTTTTAATTTTGTTTTGTTCTTATTTATTATTTCCTTATTTTTTAAATTGTGGTAAAAAAACACATAACATATAATTTACCATCTTAACCATTTTTAAGTGCACAGTTCAGTAATGTTAAGTATATTCACATTTTATGCAACTATAAATCATTTTATAGTTGTATATATTAAGTATATATATTGTATATATACATTTATATATACTTAATATATATACATATATACACATTGTATGTATACATGTATGTATAAATACATTTGTATGTATAAATATACATTTATATATATATTTGTATATATATACATATATAGGTGTATATATGTATATATATTAATGTCTGTAATTCCTATGGTGCCTACCACATGTTTGCTGAATAATCAGGACTTTGCCACCCAATCCTAAAACTGCCAGTCCCCAAATCCCAATGCTCCTGAGTGCACCCCATGGGCAAAGATAGAGTTAATATTTCTTTTTTTTTTTTAAGATTTTATTTATTTATTTGAGAGAGAGAGAATGAGAGACAAAGAGCACGAGAGGGAAGAGGGCAGAGGGAGAAGCAGACCCCCCGCTGAGCAGGGAGCCTGATGTGGGACTCGATCCCGGGACTCCAGGATCATGACCTGAGCCGAAGGCAGTCGCTTAACCAACTGAGCCACCCAGGCGCCCATAGAGTTAATATTTCTAAGCTCCTACCTAAAAGCTGTCATATATCCTAGATCTTTAATTTTATTTACTAATTTTCAAAATAGGTCATAAACTCGCTTGGTTCAAAATTCAACAAGTATAAAAGAGTGTATAGTGAAAATGCTCCAATTCACTCCCCAACCATCCAATTTCTCTCCCTGGAGGCAGTCTTTATTATCTTTATTATTTTATGCATACACAAGTAAAAACACACACTCATACAAACATTCCCTTCGCCCACCTTTTACACAAATTGTACCATACTGTTTACACTCTTTGGTACTTTGCTTTTTTTTCACTTATATATTGAAGGTCATTCCATTTAGTACATTCATATTTTACATTTTACGGATGTATGTAACTTACAAATGAGTTCCCTGTTGATCAACACTGAGTGATTTTAGGGGGCCAGTCTTTTGCTAGTAAAACATTACTGCAATGAATAGCCTCTAAATAGAGCATTTTGCAAGTGTGCAAGCATATCTGTCTGATAAATGCATAGACTTAGGATTACTTGGTCAAGGGTGTGTA